CTGTATTTCCTTGCCCTTTATGAAATATAGCATTGAGATATGTTTGATGACTGTCAGCCTATGCAGCAGTTGAGCAATGTTGGACTCAGGTCTGCCAGCCTATCTGATGTTTATCTGTGCCATATGACAATGTGTACCGATAGGCAGTGGTCATTGGGAATACATTATCATCAGAAGACTGTTAACTCATTTTGATTATTTGTATAAAAATTGCCATGGAGATACAAAATCAGATCTACATTGTTGCTCATCTATTGATGCTTACTAGCCTTCATGACCTATTTCTCCGATGATAGGATCCAATGCCTTTTCTTCTTAGTCCAATTTTAAATTTAAAGTTATGTTACTCTTGATATGTTGACAGCCCATAAATCTAGATACATGTAGATGTTGATTGAGTTTTGATATCTGTACGACATCTCACTCGTAAATAACTAATTTCTTATTTTCTGAATCCTAACATAATACCCATAATATTAAATGTTATCTTTCCTTTGTCTTGTGAATGTAAAATGTATGTTTCATATTACTGTTATTTTCACGGTGAAGAGTAGAACTTTGAGTATCTCTAAACACCACACTAGTGCTACTCACACAGACATGCAAGCACACACAAATAAGAAACAAAAGCGAGTAACCGCCCCTTTGATTCTTCAATAGTAGCCTTCTCGCAGTCCTTCTAATTGTTTTCAGTTGTGTTTACTCAGTCTCGTCTTCCGTAAGCCCGCTTTGGTTTGCTTCCTGACCTTCCTCTGTGTATTCTCAGGTGGCAAGCTCACAGTATATGTGGGAAATTAATTGTCTGGGTCATAGGGTGATAAACTGACAATAGACCTGTCTTTAATAATCAGCTCAAGATTGCCAAATAGCCTGCTATTTCTCATTTGGGAAATAATCGTGAAGTTACAAATCACGTCTTCGTCAGCTCGAGACTTGACCTCGAAACTTTAAACTCGAGCTTGAGAAATTAGCTCGAGATATTTTTCATCTCAAGCTGATGAAAACAGGCCTAATGCCTTCGTTTATTCTGACAAATCTAGCTTCACTGTGAAAAAAATGAATGTCGTTACTTAAAATGAGATTTTCATAAAAATGAAATGTAGACACAACTTGAAAACAATTAATTATCAAATTATTATTTTTCGCTGTTGAAAATTGTAGCATTATTTCTTGTCATTATTTATTATGGAATATTTTGGTCATACATTTGTAGATAATTACTGGTTCGATTGTGAAGAATTGGTGTTTCTGGACTGGTTTAATAGTGTACTTGCTATTTGTTTGAGAAAACTGACAGATTATTTATCATCTTTTCCAGGATTTGATCTTCTCTTTGATAAACATCCACATGAGTAAAACTATACCATTGTTTATTCCTTACCTGACTCATCAGTCACCATTGTGTGCTGTTCGGAAGTGAAAGAAGATGATGGCTACAGGGTTGAGTGTCATAAGTGAGCAAAACAAGCACAGAGCTCTAGCTAGGTCAAAATATGATTAGAATTGGAGCATAGTCAAGTCCATGGACAAATATGATCTTAATCTTCCACAATAGCCTAATTTAAGATACAAATATGATTTTTATTATTCAACAGAAGCCCGGGTCCATGAACAAATAGGACTGTAATATCCAAGATGATTTTAGACAAAGTGAAATTCTTGTCAAGAGTCTTTTTCAAAAATGGGGAGTATGCTGGGTTCCATATTGTTTCTTATTCAATACTCACCCCCTTCCCTTCACAAACAAGCTACAATGTATGTATGCCAGTGTCAACTTCAATACATATTTTTTCTGAATAAAGTGTTATTTGTCCATGCAAACATCGGTTTAAAAGAAGTTGAAACGGCAGGGGACTCGAAACGAGGTTTCACTTTTACTTTGCCATCTGTATCTCCTTGTATGCATATTACCCACTTGAATACTTTGCATACAATTGTAGATTGGATCCGTGTTGAGTTCATCAGCAAGTGGTGGATGGATATGTTTTTAATGTTGCCAGTCATCACAACAGGAAAAGGATTGGTCTACGCACATAATGCTTTTATATGGCTGCCTGCATATTCCATCATTTTTCCATGTAAACTGAAATAGGTTTAATGTGTTTAGCTAAAGTAATTAAGGGACACATATTTTTATTGTCATGGCAAAAGACGTTAAAAGATGGGAGTTGTTGCTACCTTGTTTGGCGTTCAACAATAAGGGATAGAGCAACGTCGATCTGGCGCTGCTCCGTGGCTGCCGGGCTCATGATCAATTGGGCAAAAAGAATTTCCGTTTTGGTTTAATAAAATTTGGAGTGGACTATTAGGCTATTATTATTATTATTATTATTATTATTATTATTATTATTATATTTTTATTGTTGTGACAAATATTTTTATTGTTGTCGTGACAAATATTGAATTGTATGGTTTCATTGGTCCAAGCGCGTAGAGAGGATTTCATTTTAGGGGGGCGGTAGTGAGCACGCAAAACGTGCGAATCACCCTAGGGGGGTAGGTGCAGGGAAAGCGCGGAAGCTTTGAAAGAAGACGATTCGTTGTACCGTTCTCGACTCATAATCCTTGTCTGAATTCAGTCCGCTCCTCCTGCGCATAACGCGGAAGCTTTGACGTATTATTAGACAAAGAAGACGTTTTTTTTGGGGGGGGGCGACTGCCCCCCCCCCCCCCCCCCCCCCCCTGGCTACGCGCCTGCATTGGTCAATGGCTGTACATACATTTACATGTCTTGGGCTGTGTACATTAGTTTCATAAGTGAGCAAAAGAAGCACGTAGCTAGGCCAAAATATGAATATAATTAAAACTGCATAACCAAAGTCCATGGATAAATAGGACTGTAATATCCTAGATGATTTTAGACAAAGTGAAATAGAATTATAGTTTCTTGTCAAAATTCCCATTCCCTCCCCCAAACATATTCTATGCTGATGTCAATTTTAATTCACATTTTTTCTGAATAAAATGTTATTGGTCCTTGCAAGCATAGGATGAAAAAAAAGTTGAAACTAGGTATCACTTTCACTTGCCCATCTGTATATTGATTACACGTCGAGTAGTTCATCAACCAGTACATGTATATCGTATGGTAGATGGATCATGGATATGTGCTTCAATGTGGTCAGTTGTCACAACAGGAAACGAATTGCACACAATATGCATTTATACGGATTCCTGCATTTTCCATCAAACAAAAATATTTTTAATGCCCTTGGCTATAGTAATTCAGGGACACATACTTTTTTTATGCCTCCGCCACCGAAGGTGGTGCCGGAGGCATCATGTTTTCGGGTTGTCCGTCCGTACGTCCGTCCGTCCGTACGTCCGTCCGTCCGTACGTCCGTCCGTCCGTCCGTCCGTCCGTCCGTCCGTACATCCGTCCCGTTTGACCGTTATCACAATATCTCAAGAACCATTTAAGATTTAAACTTAAGACTCGGGAATAGTATTTATCACCATAGGAAGACGATCTGATTAGATTTTGGAGTACGTAGGTCAAAGGTCACAGGTCACAGAGGTCAACTTATGAAATTCCTTGTATTGAGTTTGTTAGCGCGATATCTCAAGAACCATTTGAGATTTAAACTTCAAACTTAAGGATAGTATGTATCACCATAGGAAGACGATCTGATTAGATTTTGGAGCACGTATGTCAAAGGTCAAGGGTCACAGAGGTCAACTTATGAAATTCCTTGTATTGAGTTTGTTAGCGCGATATCTCAAGAACCATTTGAGATTTAAACTTCAAACTTAAGGATAGTATGTATCACCATAGGAAGACGATCTGATTAGATTTTGGAGCACGTATGTCAAAGGTCAAGGGTCACAGAGGTCAACTTATGAAATTCCTTGTATTGAGTTTGTTAGCGCGATATCTCAAGAACCATTTGAGATTTAAACTTCAAACTTAAGGATAGTATGTATCACCATAGGAAGACGATCTGATTAGATTTTGGAGCACGTATGTCAAAGGTCAAGGGTCACAGAGGTCAACTTATGAAATTCCATACATTGAGATTGTTATCATGATATCTCAAGAACCACTGGAGATTTAAACTTCAAACTTAGTGATAGTGTGTATCACTATAGGAAAACAATCTGATTAGATTTTGGAGCACGTATGTCAAAGGTCAAGGGTCACAGAGGTCAACTTATGAAATTCCATACATTGAGATTGTTATCATGATATCTCAAGAACCACTGGAGATTTAAACTCCAAACTTGTTTAAATTGCTCTATGGCGGAGGCATCATTTTCGACTGCGCGCAGTCAAAATTCCATCTAGTTTAATTTTTTTTTTATAATAAATTGTATGGCTTTATTGATTTAATGGCTGCACATACATGTACAGGGTGTTTGTGGCTGTGTACACGGGAGACAATCACCAAATTAATTTTCAGAGTACTACTGCTGGTGTGTTTTTTTTTTTTTTTTTCATTGTTATGTTCAAGGCTTGACACAAACGGGTCCAGACCCCCAACATTTTGAAGTATTTACATAGGGCTTATACAGTAAAAAGTTGGATCTGAACCCCCTACCAAATGTCAGTGTGGAGCCCTGTTATATCTGTGCCCCTTTGCATATTAACTTACCATTGATGGTAACTTTGCCATTAATGGTTACTTCAATGGAATCATTGATTTGATTGGCTGTTGAGCCATGTTACCATGGTAGTTAATATTGATGGCATAGTTACCATCAATGGTAAGTTTTATGAAATGGGGGCCCTGATCTTTCTTTAATAGTGGATAACTAATTATGTCAAAATAAATTGAAATAATAATCATCACACAAAGCAGAAAAAGAACCTTCAATTCGTCGCTGTTTTCACGAGGTGACGGTAGTGAAAAAAAATTGCATTCACTTTGCGTTACGATTTTCCTCACTATCGTCACTTCGTGAAAACAAGGACAAATTATCTTTTTTTTTTACTTTATTCAGAATCTTCAGTCAACCTTACTTTGATGATTTGTCTTTGTGTGTTTTATTTTCATGTGCAGGGTGATCCAGTACATCAAAAGCATGTTGTTGTCACATTCCACGACATTGGACTAAATCGTGAGTATATTTTCATTTGGTTTCATGTGGACAATGAAATTTATATTTCATGCATTTATAAGCTTTTGTTCTTGTGTAAATTTGTTCACACCTATAGCTCTTGTGTCATCTTTTTTTAATTAAAGTGGTATGAACTCTTTGATTGGGGTAAACTTCTCAACGTTGGCATATGTTTCTGCTTTAAGATGGAAAATGTAACTTTAATACACATTGTACAATTCTCAAATTGGGTGGGATTTGCCGCCAACGGTATGCAAAGGTTCAACAACATTTTATTTAAAGGTAATACAAAGTTTTGGTATGGGGTCATGAATTTGGTTCAAATGAACATATTGGAAGCATATACGATCCTGCAATATTCAGTGATCGTTGTCGCGGTCAAAATCGACTCTAAAGTTATGAAATTGTAAGTAATTAACATTTTATGTTGAATAGCTCCCTCTCAAGGTCAAGATATTAATTAAGCTATAAAACAATGTTTATTGACTAAAATCGAACGATTAGCTATTCTCATTCGGAAATTATATACCACAACTACATACTCTGAGATTTTCATGGTCGCAGCTACCATTATACGGCCGTAGAAGCTATTTGAAATTTATCAAAATTTACCGGGAGCACCGGTAAATCTTTATATTCAATTTTTCTCGAAAGCAGAAGTGTTTTAGGGGCTAAAATTTCTGGTGTTTTTAATACATCCACAGGGGCATCCAAATATATCAAAATTGTAAAGAATCACTATCCACCCATTTTTCAAAATTTCCCAAAACTTTGTAATACCTTTAAAACTTTTATGACCTCTCTGCACCCAATTTCACAAACAAAAGAGATACAAGATCCATTACCCAACCACCCAACCACAATCGTGCAAATTTACTCTGTGATGTTCATATCAATTTTAAACAGAACTGATAACTGACCCCCATTTAGACTACCTAAAGTCATTGTAGCGAATGCACATTTGAGGTTCATTTCAAACGAATATGAAAATTTCATAATTAGTTCAGGATTTTTTTCGAGCATGCACCGAGGATAAACCGGTCGATATGTCAACTGATCTCTTCTGAACTATTAGTAGTTTCATTAAACTATGTTTCTCTATACACTGTTATCCAGTGTGTACGAGTTTTGTGTATTAACTATCTTCTAGTGTAAACGAGCCAAGAAAGTGATGAGGTTGAAAGCCATTAAGGCCTTTCTTCATCAGCTTGAGTTTGCCAAATAACCCGCCATTTTCAGACTCGGGATATTAGCTGATGAAGACAGGACTATTGATTCTGTGAATGATACAGGGGGTGGGATTGTGTATTTTGATCTTGTGACCAAAGATCAAGTATTGTGATATATGGTCATATGAGCCACTACTAGATCCCATGCTGAACCTGAGCTTGGCCCCTGGTTACTGTGCACATGCTTGATCGAACGGATGCTGTATGGAAGCTTAGGCAGGGCTTCCCACTAACTCTTTTGGAAGGGGTCCAGATTAAACGTTCCAGATTAAACTGTTCAGAGTCTATGCATATTAAGCCCTCTGTTAAAAAAATTAAATTTTGGAGGTCCAGATTAAGATTTTGGGTATTGAGGTGTCTGATGGTGTTGAGTTCTGGAACTTTTAAATATGCAAACTGCCATCGGACTGTTTGAAGTACACATAAATTGTGATGAGTCTACAAAGTGGATTCTTTCTCATCATATGTAAAAACAAATAAGTTTTCCCTGGCCCAAACTGAGTCATGTTATCAAATATTTTTCAGTTAGAAATAGTGTAGCCACAAGCCAGGTATTCCCCCAGAATTAATTTGTCCCCTGTCTATGAAAATACATACATCATATTTGTCATATTCGATAGATCATAGCAAAAAAATTGTGGAATGCTGAAGACACTATTATGCTCATTTTACCTTTAGATGTTATTTAAAGTTTGATTCAAAACAAAAAAGTAGTTGATTTGACCTTTCATTTTGGGAGATGTTCCAGGTTATTTGCATGAGAAGCAACATTTTATCCGTGCAGAAAATTTACTAGCATTGGCAGCATCATCATTGTTGTTGATAGTGTTTCTGATGTTGTTGTTGTTCCTCTTCTTGCTATTATTAGAGGACCTCCAGGAAGGTTGTGCATTTATGATTAGCATTCTTTTAATGTTTGTTTACTCATATTTACATTGTTATATATTTTGTGAATTGCTGAATAAATAATAAATAAACAAATAAATTATTTTAACCTTTTGACAGATACATCATGGGTAAAGTTCATCAGCACAAAGGCAATGGCCCCGATGGTGGGTAAAGTGTGTTTCATCCATATCAATGCACCGGGCCAACAGGACAACGCTGAAGATCTCCCCGATACGTAAGTCCATCAGAAAACTATCTCACCCATCTGTCATACATTTCAAACCTGTATAGAAAGACCACCATGATCAACAGCAAAGCTGTCTTTATTCTAGGTACATGTACATGTAGTCTCTATACAAACTCCTCTTTAAAGGGATCGTTTAACAATGTAAAATCTGAGAAACACGGTCCTGCATGTTACCAGTGTCTGTGATATGGTGTAATATTGCAGCCCTTAAAAAATCGCGCTTCAAAATAATCAAGAAGTGCTCCAAAAAAGTAAAAATCTTTGAGTGACCTGTTTTACCATACTCGTTTTCCCGAATAGACTGTTGTGTTATGAGGTTTTCAAATTTTTAAATTCCAATCATTTATATCTTGATAATCAGACAGGCGATCGGCTTGTAAAAGTCACGGAGTTCCTGACTGACCTAAAGGTTTATAATTATCATTGCAGCATGAGCTAAATCAAGGATTATTTCTGAAGGATCTGAGACAAAGTTACTGGATCCCTTTAACAGAGCTGCCAACTAGTACGGATTTCCCGTAATTGGTACGGAAATTAACGACCATTACGGAATGTTGTCTCAAATTACGGATTTAAAAAAAAAAAAAAAGATTTTTTTTTTTTTTTTTAATTTTTTTTTTAATGAATTAAATATGATTTATCGTAGCGAGTGCTGTGAATAGGAGCCATTTTTCATGATAAACTGTGTTGTGATGACCTGAAATTCAATACTTAACATCTTTGTGTGAGTAAAATCACCAAAAATTTCAGATAATCATGCGTCCGCGCAGTGTTGGCGTGTCGTTTTTTTAGATTCATAGCGCCGCATAAGAAATTACTGATTTATACCCCAAATTACTGATTTTGAGCCTTGTGATTACTGATTTTCTGTTCTGGAGGTTGGCAGCTCTGCTTTAATCTGTTGATTACGGAATCGTCTAATTACCATAGGCTTTTAGTACAGGAGCCACCTGGTTCCCATAGCTAATGGATCAACTTAATGTTTTTAATGAGAACATTGTTTCAACTGAAACAAACAAGTTTAACTTGCTCTTTCTATACAGGTGGTTTTGAAAGCAAATTGGACTAGATACATTTCAATATAGGCTACTTTACAAGATACTTCCCTATGTAGGCAAATGGATGGAGTATGAAGCATGTATATATTATTACTATTATTATTATATATACTTTGATTAAAACCAAAAATATTTTTGAGCAAGAAACTATCACATTTTGTTGTTCGTGGTGTTGTATCTCTTTGGCTTTGTTAGATTTCCCCAGGCAGTTTTGCTGCTCTTCTTTTCAATCTATTCAATTCAATTCAATTCAATTTCATTTCTAAAATGCAAAACAAATTGTATAAGAAATGCATTTGTTATGTGTACGTCCATACAAATAACAAAAACATATCGGCATGATAAAAGTGAGTCCATGCATATAGGCATTGGTTTTGAAGAACACTGGCAACTACATATTGTCAACACAAGCTCTGCTTTTCAGTGGATCCCTCCATTTCCACAGGTTTATCTTTTTTTAAGAATTAAAAAACCCATTATATTGGATAATTATGTATACTTTCTATTTCGCAACTTTAAACCATGTAAATTGTAGTATATTATTGAATGGTGAATTGTATATCTGATTTCTTGGTCATAATTACTGTTCTGTTGGAAATTTAAAAAAATAAAAAGTGAAACTGAAACACTAGGATGTATTTCTGGGTTCTGTAGATGAAACTTGTCAGTCATCTCCGGGGAGTGGAGTGGGAAGGAGTTCAAATGAAAGTGGGTTATTACAGAAATTTCTCGCCAGAATCTTAGTCATAGATAGCCTAGTCAGTCAGTCAATCATCCCTTCCCTTGGGTCACCAATATCTATTAGGTTTGGCAAAAATATTTTGCTCACTGTGGAGGAGGTTTTACCAATTTCAAGCTTCTGAACCAGAATGTTATTTATGGACTATCATTTTGAATATGTAATGTGAAAAAGACCAGAAAATGAAAAATGAATAAGAGTTGTAATAATGAGGAGGAGAAGGAGAAGACAATATAATAAAAAGAATAATGACATACAGTATAGTATTAAACAAAAATATATAATAATATTTTGTGTACACATATCAACACAAAAGTACAGCACTCCAGACTCCAGTATATGTAATTGATTTGCGTTGAGAAAGGAAAAGAGTACCTTTGAGTGGGAGAGAGAGAGAGAGAGAGAGAGAAAGATAAAGTACTTGTAGAGATGTGAGATATGTTTGATTGGAGTTTCATTGCAATTGCAATTATGAACACCACTAGGAAGATGGCCAGATACATTTTAATATTTACCCACACTTCAATTTTCATTGACACAGATTTCAGATTCCAAAGAAAACCTTTTTTAAGAGAATTTAATATGAAGTGCATCTAGATGGGTTTTATCTGCAAGTGAGGCTTGTCTGCTGTCATAAGCCGTTTGCCAATTATGAGCAACACAAACAAGACTGCCATAGTCTGCCAAACGCATTTTCATATTTACCCATACTTGAATTTCATTGACACAGATTTCAGAAAATCCACAGAATACCGTTTAAGAGAGTCAAAGATGAAGTGCATCCAGGCGCGTTCGCTGTCAGCATCATTACAATCACACTGTGTGGTGATGCGTGTGTGATGATGCGAGCTATGCTAGCCAGACGAGCTGCCAGACATATTTTAATATTTGCCTATTCTTGAATTTCATTGACACAGGTACAGGTATCCCAAGATGCAGGAGCTGGCCGAGGAGATTCCAGGAATCCTCAAAGAATTAGGGTAAGTCTCCTCTCCATCCAGCCAGTCCCTTGTGGTGTAACCTCCTTGAATAACACATGTGGGGGTGTTTCACAAAGATGCTAAGTTGGGCTTAAAAATTATGGAGAGCTATTTGTAGCCTTAAAATTAAATATTTCCAAAAGCAAAAATTGAAGTATTTTAGACCTTTCATGAATTCCACACCAAGAACATGAAATCTCCTTGATATTAGGAAATATGAATTATTTGAATCAACAATTTATGCCTTTTCCAAAATTGCAATGATGCTAATGGCTTTCCATAATTGTTAAGTCCAACTTAGAGATAAGTTCAACTTAAGATCTTTGTGAAACACCCCCTTGGTCTACCCAGAGGCAGAAGGGCGTGGTTGAGTTATGCATCTTTTTGATAGAGGTAATGCCCTTCTGGCTCTCAACAAAGGATGTGGTTAATTTCATAGGAAGTTTCATGACCGGGGGAGTTAAGAAATGTGTCGGCTGTGCCAATGTGCAACATGATTTTCTTTTGTATTCATGTCATATATGATATTGAGATTTGAATAGGCCCGGATGGAAAAAAGTAAGGAATAAGGTAAGCATGTATAAATAAGTTTTTATAAAAACCATAAAGATTAAAAATGTATACGTCTTTCTGTATGATTTTTTAAATAAAGGATTTGTATTAAAAAAGTATTTTGTAAACACATGATAGTATGTCAACTTATGAATCAATCCAAAGAGAGAAAGAGAGGGGGGGGGGGGGGGGTGTTATATAGTGGTATCATACATGTATGTCCTATTATGAATGTATAGAGATTTTGTTGCAATTAAAATAATGTCTGTACATTTTATTGGATTCTCCCCCTCACCCCAGCCCAGCCCACCCCATAATGGATATGCTAATGCATCAGAGCCTATGGGCAATTTACAACCTGATTTTCTTATGCAGAGTTTAGTGAAGGAGATATTTTTCAACACATTTTAAATCGGGTCAATCCATTTGCTTTGGTTGCCCAACCCCCACTCCACATGAAAAGACTTGGCGTACTAATGCATCTAAAAATACAGAGAACATAAAGATCTGTTTTTTGTTGTTTTCATTTTCAGAGTTCCCGAGAACCGTGAGGTGATTGGACTAGGAGAAGGAGCTGGATCAAATGTACTTCTCAGGTTGGCTGTAAGTATTTCTGTAATCTGCTAATTGACGATCATATATTTCGCAGACCATTCAAATGATTGTGGGTAACTGTACCAAGAGTTTGAAATTTGTTTGTGTAAAGGTCACTTACTTGATTTTCCCTACATCAGCTAAAATTCCTGTATAGACTATCAATAATACAGATTTATCAATAGCATATTTTGTATTATGATCTGAACTTTCTGCTTTACAGCGACAATCCCCATTCAAGCTTCTTTCATGATGTGTACAATGAATTTTTCCTTGGTTGCCCTTAGTCAGCAAAAAAAAAAAAAACACCCATCAACCCAAAAATATTCAATGACAGAGAAGTTATTTACATTCAAAGCCAAGGATTGTATACAAGTTAAATCAGGCAAGATTCTCTGGACGAGTATGGAGTCAGAGTTTCAAAGCAAACCTTTTGTCTAGGCCTCTGCTTTGGAGATTAAGGATCAGAGATCATGATGAGATATAAACAACCGAGAGGAACTTTTAAGTTGAATGTAAATGTTTTATGATGTTGTGTGCCAAATGTCCCTGCATGTGGTCTTGTACGATGATGTACTTGTAGCAGGCAAGCATGTATTGATCTTTTCTCATGTACATGTAGATAAATATTGGCACTGGTTAATATCAAGAATGAAAAATACATTATTGATTGTAGTATATTTTAAGGGGAGCATTACCCATGTTCTGTATCAATTGATTTAACATAATTTTTGTTTATTCATCTCTTGCTCTTCCTGTCTCTCTCTCTATCTCCATCCCTCTCTCTGCCCCTGTCTATATCCTTTTCTCTTTCTCTCTCCCTGTCTCTTTTTCTCTGTCTCTTACTCGTCTCTATCTGTCCACCCCACTCTCTCGCTCCTCCCTTCTTCTCTCTATCTCTATCTCTTACTCTCTCTCTCTCTCTCTCTCTCTCCCCTCTATCTCTCTCTCCCCTCTATCTCTCTCTATCTCTCTCTCTCTCTCTCTCTCTCTCTCCCTGTTTCTTTCTCTGTCTCTCCCTGTTTCTTTCTCTGTCTCTTACTGGTCTCTGTCTGTCCGCCCCCTCTGTCGCTACTCCCTTCCTTTTCCTCCATCCCTTCTCCCCTCTTTCACTTGCAATTTTTATTCTCTCTTTTTTGATTTCTCACTATTGCTTCCCTTTCCTCCATCTTCCTTTCTCTCTGACTCTATATATTTCCCCCTTCTTTCTCTTTTCTCTTTTTCTCTCTCTTCCCCTCTCCCTCTCTCTCTCTTTCCCCTTTCTTCTGTTTATGCAACCTCTCTGCAGATGAAATTCCCCAAGCGTATACTAGCCTTATGTCTGCTGGAGTGCACCACCACTTCAGCCGGCTTCTCAGAGTGGGGGAGCGAGAAGGTAAATCTCAACAAAACTATTCTGCTGGAGATTGTTTTAAAAGGTTGCCTAACAAACAGCTTTGAGTGAGATTCATATGCACTTCATACACATTTTTAAAGGTTTTAAATGTTGCCATGAATAATGTTGCCAAAATTTTAATTTGTGAAACGCATAGGCAGATGTCAGCTACACTAACATAGTTCTTAATTTCAAACTTGGACCAAACACTATACCTACGGTAAATTAAAATCTAAACCTAACCAGTCAGAAACGCAATTGTTACAGTAACCCTAACCCTATTTCATTGATGAAATGTAGCCCACAGCTACTATCCCGGAGCGGATGTCAGTGCACCATCTTTTAGTGATCATCATTGGAGATATACATTCCCCCAGAGTAAGAGGGGCACTAAATCATGTGCTTTACTACCTACTCAATGTCCTCCTCAGTCTCAACAGACTATGAATCTCCTGCTTCTGTCATGATCATATACTGAACACAGAAGTAATGCCTTTCTGTGTCTCAACAAACGATCGTGACTATGTACCTCAGGCATGCCAGTTTTCAGGCAAAAGCCTGAATTCAGGCCCTGGTGACTCATTTTCAAGCCATAGTTTAGGTTTCTTTGTGAAAAAAATAGCTCATTCAAGGTGATTTTCAGGCCCTGTGATCAATTCTAACTGGCATCCCTGGTACCTGTATCTCTCACATTTGTCTCGGTCATATACTTGACACAGAATGAATGCCCTTCAGAAGATATGACGGGAAAACATGAACAGTTGCCAGGCCTTCCACTGGTCCTTGTCCTCTTTGATTTCCTCCTCCCCTTCCTGGGGGGTGTTTCACAAAACTTGTCATCAGTGACGAATGACAGTTTTAGTTATAAGCTACTGAAATCCTTGCTTCTGATTGGTTGTCAGCAGATTTGTCACTGATTTTTGTCATTCGTCATTGAAAAAAGGCTTTGTGAAACGCCCCCCTGATTAGGGTTGACACATCACTGTTTCTGGGTCATTTTCCTTGCTGTGGAAAAATGACTAGGTATCTTCCAGGGACCTGTCACAGAATTGAAAACCTGTTTTGTTAATAATAATAATAATAATATTGAATATTTAGGAGCGCTAAAAACAATAAGTACCATAGCGCTTACAAATACATATATATGAAAAGAGGACAAAAATGTACAGTCTCACATGAAGTAGATCACATAGATCACTGGGGAAAAAGGTGACTTTTGAGGGATCTTTGAGGGATGTTAGCTACTGATTTTGGGACCCTTTGCTTTAATAGACAGGAATGCCTTTTGTACTGTATGTGTAACAATAGAGGTCTAGTACCTTATAATTACGATATGGTGATCGTCAAAACACATGAAGTGATTAATGATGGTACAGGAAGAGACCCATTCATTAATTTCTCTTAAGCACCTATCAGAGAGAGCTGATTAATTGAATTAAAGATGATGGGGGGGGGGGGGGGGGGGGAGAAGGGTGTTTACATTTAGCTTATGGCACATGCACCTTTTGAAGAAATTATAACTGTCATGATTATACCACTAATGTCCTTTTACACTTTGTTCAACCACTGAAAGAGCCTGATATATCCCCAATAGAAAAGACTGAGACTTGTTGCCCTAACCTCTTAGTGTACAGGTTTGTGTATAAAGTAAGGATGACCAAGTCACGCTTTTTCATCTATTTGAAGAGTTCTCAAATCAGTGTTGATTCTTCTGAAAGAATGTTTCCTCTGCTTCATTTAGGGGTTGTATACCGTCATGACATTCACCATTTACATCAGGATGCAGGTGATTTCCATTCAAGACTTTGGAGCAGAAAAGGGCCATGAGCACCCACAGCAGAAGCGGACACAAGCGCTATACAAGAAGCCCAGCATCATCAAGATTCTCAATGTCTTATGTTGTATTTTGGTATTTCCATAGGTGGCATCATGGCAGTTGAAGCATGGCCATAAGATGACAGCTAATGCTGAGAAGTATATCCTCTGGCATCACCTTGGCAGACGAACAGTGAGTAGCCATTAATTAGCACACGTTTCATTAGGTCTGTCTTCATCAGCTGGAGTTTGCCAAAAAGCCCACTATTTTCAGACTTGGGATATTATCCCGAAGCTCAAAATTGCTACTTCACCAGACGGATAAGCTCATCACAAACTAGCTCGGATGGGAGCAAATTAGCCCGCTATTTGGGAAATAGCAGGATATTTTTGGAAATAAGACCAAGATTTCTCTGGATATTTTCTCGTCCGAATATCCCGCTAATTGCAACTGCGGGCTGATGAAGACGCAAATTAACTGGCTAATTTGCAATAACGGGTCATTTGGCAAACTCGAGCTGATGAAGACAGGCCTATTGAACTTTTTATCAGTTACAAGGTACAGTACTTAGGTTCACATGGTAGGGAGTGGTAAAGCTTGTGGCTTAATATTTTTAGGTTATCACTGATGTTATTATATGCTGAGGTCACACTCATGGTTTTAAAACTTAAACTCTAATTGAAAGTTTAAATCCATGGGTGATCTTGCAGTTCAAGTGGGTGTGATAACTATGAGCCCAGCTGGTCCTCCATCAAAGTTATGTGCTGCTATGCAGACACAATTAACCTTTTCTGTGATGACATGAACTATATACAACTTTTCAGATGTCAACATTGTGTCCACGTAACGGTGTCATTTTAACGTCTGCTAATCAAATGCATCATCCAGTCCATGATATTTAATATGTCATAAAAAATGACCTTCCTACACCTTGGATCCCGTAACACAAATCATAGTAATTGAGAGTACAATCAATTTTTGCGATTGCATTGATCATTTTATGCAGTCAACCACAGAAATCTATAATACAATCAATTCCTATTAAAGTTTTGTGGTACGGGGCCCAGGTCAGTTTGTTTAAACCACTTCACCCCCTGCTGAAAACTTCTTCTGCCGACAAAACAGAGCTGTATAGAGTACCGAAGCTGTGACATCATAAAAATCAATTTTCAGAATTTCTCAATTTTTACTTCAATTTCCGAAAGAGCATCAAAAATAATGTTCAAATGTCGAAAAATCAAATTGAATATGTTAAGTATTGGCTGAGATATGACCATCTGAATAAATCTATATAGTTCCTATAGGAACTCAGTGTTATGCTCTGGTTTTTAATGTTATGAACCAGAGCAAAATAAATTGGTTTTCGACATTTGAACAGTATTTTTGATGTTCTTTCGGAAAATGAAGTTAAATTTGAGAAATTCTAAAAATCTTTTTTTGATGACGTCACACTTCACCACTCTATTGACGTACTGTAGCTCCAATTTTCAGGTGCCGACATCAATGTGTCAAATGGGTTGAAACTCTAGCAGACATTTCTATTTGTAAACATTGCTCTTGGTGTAGCGGTGTCATGGTCTAGTGGATACGTCACCTGACTGTGAACCACAAGGTTCATGGTTCATGTCCTGCTGTGGCACTAATGGTAAGATATTACTCTGCATTTGCCACTCTTCACCCAGGTGAAGGGAATGGTATCCAGTGTAGGAGGAATATCCTTGCATGCTGTAGCACCTTATTGTGACGGCTCAGCTACAGCCGGGGAATAATATGATACTTTGTATTAAACACGGTATAGTATATTCATACATGTATTTGCTGCGCTATATAGTATATCTATAAAGCGCTTAGATATCAAGCGCTATATAAAAGCGGATTTATTATTATATAAATGGAAATATCATTGTTATTATTTTCCTGTCTTCTCACTTCCTTGTAGCACTCGACTGAGTACGTTGACATCGTGAAGCAGTACCATGAAAACCTGTACAAAATGATGAACGCCCATAACCTCGGACTCTTCATCGACGCCTTCTGCAAGTGAGTATAAACCAAACCATACGATACCGGTAGATTCAGCTACTTTGTGATGTAACATAGTTGAGTAAATAGAGTAATAACAGGAAGGAGGGGGGGGGGGGGGGGTGATCCGCCCTGATATGGCTTAACCTTTTGACTACTGAATTCTTCTAATCCCATAGGTGTGGTACACATACTAGTCAGTTTCCATATGCAGCGGATTAATAAAAAAAAAAATTTGTTGCCATATAGCATGAACAGATAATATGATGTAAGTCAAGAATATATACCGGTAGACATATCTAGATACATAAATAGCATCAGTTTTCTCACCGATAGCAATAACAATTTACACAATCAATCAAAAAATTGATGGAAAGATGTTAATGATTTCATTGTACATAACCAATTTTCTAACTTCATTATCAAAATCACTGTCGATGCAAATTGTCATTTCGGCTACCAAGAATGCAGTAATCATTTTCTTATTTAGGAAAGAGTTCAGTGACACATCCAAAGTTAATAATGTTTGAATTGCAATTATTCTTTTCCCATTTGTCCTATTTCCTATGAAGATATTATCTCTTTCTCTAATCTTTCTGCTTCTACCCAAAGCAATTAACTAAAAGTTAGTATGGCCACCTAATACGTCATACTTGAGCGAATTCTGCCATCTAAGTGTTGTAATTGTATATATCTATGAATCTTATCTTCGGTTTTAATTAAGGGCAGTACGTGCCCGAGTCCTGATTTGACATGTCAGCAAGAGAGAGAGAGAGAGAGAGAGAGAGAAAGAAAGATAATCAGAGGTCATTTGTAAGACTAATCAGCAATTAGTGGTGATACCTAAAACAGATGTGGCAGTCTTGAAATTAAAGGCAATCTTGATTTACATGTATGGGAATGTAACTGCTTTTTATGCAAAACCATCATCATGCAGTCATGTAAGTTAGGCCTAAAAGATATCTTGTATTGCCTTTTAGGTGCCAAAACATGGGTTGTTCGGTCAGAAATCTTCTTTTTTTTTTAATTAAAAACTTTCTCAGTTTTGAAGGTTTTAATATTTTTTTCCTCTAAAAACAGTAAATATAATATTTAAAAAATACAACTTATTTTTTTAAAGGCCCTATTTGGAGCAGCAAAATATGTACAGAAACTTAGGTGGATATCACACTTTATAGCATGTATGGAACCTCATCATATACTATCTGGTTTGGTATAATATTTTGTAGCCCAATACCCTTTTACAACACAATAGTTTTTATTTCATCTTTTTTTTTTAGTCTTTAATATTCATAGGATTCTGCAATTAGCATAACTTCCTCAGTATTAGTTCTCAGAATTTGCTTTAATTACTTATAATGCTCTGCTAATTGTGATCTATATCACATGATTGAGATCAAGTGGAATAAGAATCCTTTGAAGTATGTCACCAACACCTGTACCTACCTAATGATTTAGTTTATGACATCGAAAAAAAACCTTGCTTGTAGGCAGTGAGGCGTTAAAGTCCTCCTGCAATATTTCCCTAGAGTAAAGTAGATACAGAGCTGATGCATACCGGGACGTTCTGATCAACTCTCATGACTTAAAAAACATGTTGTTTTTTTGTCAGTCGTAGACAACCTTGAAGGGTCTGAAGGTAGAAAATCTTTGTATTGAAGATGCTATGTCCCTTTTGCAGCCAACCTTAAATTCTGTAGAACTTTGTAGGAGTTATGAATATGTCATGTATGTCCTATCTGTGAAATTTACGCGTTAGCAGTGTCCTAATATTCAAATTATGCAAGGAAACCCGTTACTTGCTAGACTTCACTGTCAAACATTATTGAGTGACTGACTGGCTTTCTTTCTTCTTTTGTAATACAGTCAAACCTGGTTTAGTGACCACCTGTCTACAAAGACCACCTGTCTACAGAGGCCACATTTGTTGTTTCCCTTGAAAATGGTTTCTCATTGAATCATGTACTAAAGGAACCTGTCTACAAAGGCCGCTTTTTGTGTTTCCCTTGGGTGGTTGCTATAGACAGGTTTGACTGTACATACATAAAATGAGCTGTAACGGGTACATAGCTTTGTCTACATCAATAACCCACTTCTTGTAATGGCCAAAATTAAACTGATTGAATCTTTGCGCAGCATAAAACGTACCACCATTCGGTACAATGGTCTGAAAAACCAGGCTAATACGAACTGGCTCTGTAGCTCCTAAGTCGATTTGACAACTAATAGTCGTTATTTTGCCACTTAAAGACATTTTCAAGCCCCCTCTTTTGAAGGAAAGTTTCTAAATTAGTATTATGTTTCAAATGCCGTTGGAATTTAACCTTTTCATATTTTTGGCCTGCAAATGGGACAGAGTACCTTTAAAGTGACTCGGTAGCATTTCCTCAGATTCTGAAACAAAATCCTGGATTTAGCTCATGCTGCAATCATAATTTTTAACCTTTAGGTCAGTCAGGAATCCCATGACTTTTACAAGCAGATATTTAGGATTGGAAATTGAAATTTCAAAAACTGTTTTCCTAATGGTTTTTATAACACAACAGTTTATTGGGGAAAACGAGTATGGTAAAACCGGTCACTTTTGGAGGCACTTCATGATCGTTTTAAAGTGCTATTTTTTTAGGGCTTTAATATTACACCATATCACAGACACTGACAACACGTAGGGCCATTCATCTCGGATATAACATTCTTAAACGATGCATTTAAACAAATATTATAGAGATTCCTATTCCTCCAGGACAATTACCAAGGGTTTGACACTAGCTAGGGCCCCCGGGCCACCAAACTGCCCCATCGGGACAGTTAAACATTCAAGGCAGTGAAATAGATAGGGAGATAATAAACACCTGAAGGCTTCGAATAAGCTTTTGTGACTTAAAAAACATGTTTTTCTCTTCTTTTAGGAAACCTTGAAGGCACTTATCAAATATAATCTTTAAATAAACAGAATTTGAACTAGTATCCCCTAAGACAATGTTTACCCTCCAGGGAAGCAACTATTTGGACAACTCTGTGCTCCAGTTGTATCCAATGGCTAGTTGTAATGGTCTGATAAAACAAACAGTGTAGGCTCCTGATATTAGTAATTGAATTTGTGTACATATTTAAATGGAAAGGAAAAAAAAGTTAGAAATAAAGTTCATTTTAACCCACTGACCACTGGATTGTATTCCTATAGGCTTTATTACAGGAGCCACCTGGGTCCTGTAGGCATTGGTTTAATTCTATCAATTTCATCTGCTGTAGTACAGCTCATATTGAGCTAAAAATGAACCCTTTATGATTTTTTTTTTAAAAACCAGATTGAACATTAAGCTAGTCTTTACTCTGTAAATTATGTATGTACACATACTTATAATTATAATGCTGACCCACAGATGGCATTTCAAAGTTGCATTGTAAATATCCAGTGAAAATATGCCATTTAAATCCCTGTTACTAAATGTCAATATACAGTTAACAACTAAATCATTCATGCCCCTTGTAAACTTTACGTTTTTTAACAAATTTTCATAACTCAAAAGTGACAGAGGGACTGGATGAATTAGGACCTTTGTTGAATACTTGTAGATGTAAGCTTTAAAGCCTATCTGCACTAGTTTAGCCATGAGGGATTAGACCTCCCTGCATGGTAACTGACAGGTGGTTATCTCATTAAATCAGCTCTGAATTAACATAAGAAAAATGGGACCATGGGGGACCAATGGTCACCGCTTAGGCATTGATTGTTATATAGAGGGCAGAAGTAGATATAAGTAGTGCAGTGAGGCTTAAATATGTCCCATACTCTAGAAACGTAAATTAGGACAAATAAATTTTTCAAATACTTACATGTATATATTTTCAAATACCATATAAATCACTTTAACTCAATGTCATATCAGTGAGTCTTAAGGAGAAGACTATTAAAGAGAAATGATGAATCTATGAGGGTCCTTAGATAGACATGATAGCTACAAAGGTTCACGAGACTCGGGGGAATCCCCCAAAGATGGTGACATTTTCCACAGTCGACACATCACTTATTCAGCCGTTCCTGAATTATTCACTCATCAAAATCTGAGTGTATAAAATCTTTCACTTTGTGGACGTGTGGAGCAGACTTAACAAGTGCAATTTTGATTTGTCATTGGTGTCTGTCTTATTGGAAGAGTGGTGAGAAGGCATTGATGATTGAGGGGGGGGGGGGAAGAGATTTATGAACATGATGCGAGTTTGAAAGAGACCTGTAGCTTTTGGTTGTAGAAATTTGAAAGACATGAGAGAAAGAGAAAAAAAAAGCGCCCGCTATAGGAGGATAATAATCAGAATATGTGTGTATTGGGTTTTTACAGACGTGTATCAATTAGATTTGATTTTTTACGTCTGGGGACCGACCTTTAAACGTCACTATCCAAAAGACGGGACTCAGTTTGAACCTGCGTCCTCGGCTGAATCAGTTTGTAACTTCCACTTTTAGCTGGATTACAGACGCAATCCACAACGCCCATGTCATTATGAATATTATGATATACCTTCTATTTGCATTAAAAAATGTAGTGGTTCAGTTATCGTCTAACACAAGATTTAGGAGGGTAATTAATTGAATGATCAGGGGGCCCCTGTTGCATAAAACTTATCACTGATTGTAACTTAGCCATCAATACTAACTACAATGGCAACATCACTCAACAGCCAATCAAATCAAGGCACCATGGAAGTTACCTTTAATTTTATGCTATGGCACCCAGCTCTGTACTTGAAAAAATTCTTGGATGTGGTTTGTAACATGTTGGACAAAATAGCTTGGACTTGCCTAAACTAAAGATGGAATAAATTTATTTTTGTTTTCTTTCAGCCGAACAAACATCAACAATCACCTTAAAGATTTCAGCCTGCCTGTCTTCCTCGTGACAGGAAGCAAGTCTCCTCATGTCCATGAAGTGGTAAGTAGGCTCCATGCACTGCATCTATGCGAATATATGCAAATTAATCCAGCTATTTGCAAAATTGTACAGATAGATAGATTTGAATGTGGATGTAAAATCAGAAATTTTGTTAGAAAACTCATTTGTGAATTGCAAAAAAAATGGTGCTGCTGTCCATGATGATTCCACTGTTTCACACCATGAAGCAAATCATGAATCTGAACCGTTCACAAATTTGGCGTAAATTTCATTGTTGCACGCTTTCATAAGTTTCTGGTTTTGCAGCAGTCCATTAGTTTCGAGCATCTCAAGTTTTCGACATCTGGGTGATGGGATATTTCCTCAGGCTTTGTTTTATGAAAGATTAAATGTTAGGGTTAGGGTTGCGATCTAGGTTTAGGTCGGGTTCGGTTTAGGGCTCGGGTTCAGTTTAAGCGTATGGATTCAGCATTTGAGTCAAGATTTAAGGTCATTGAGCAAAAATTTCGTCGAACCCCACGTGTCCATTTCTAGTGTTGTGGAGGTTGGTAAGATGTTATTTTCTCAAGGTGTCACTTTGTTTTACCCAAGAGGCTTTCAACTGAAACTCACTCACACCTCAAACTAGAAGACATTATGATGCTTTACCAATGGTTTTGAGCTAACATTTATACCTTCTAGCACTCGGTCCTCAACGGATGTATTTTCATAATTTATTCAAGGGACAAGAAGTATACTATTGACAATCTTGAAGCTTGCCTGGAGGCTAAAATTGCTACCAAATGCATGACTTTTTGAATAAATTTATATTTGTGATATGTTGAGTTACAGTAAGATATAGAACGCTTCTCAATAGACTCAATTCTTGTGGGCTTTATTAATTCACAAAAAGTAAAAAATCCTATAAAGTTATAATCATATGACAAAAAAAAAATCTTCAACGAATGTATTGTGTAAAAAAAGAGAGTTGATACATGAAACAATATATATCAAAGTCTTAGCTTATTGTATTTCATTGTTGTTGTTTTTTCTTCTTCAACAGGAAAAAATCTATGAGATGCTTCCATCCAAGAAGAATTCTCAGATCCTGATTGCCAAGGATGTAGGAGGCGATATCAAGGAGGAAAATGTAAGTTTGTCCCATTAATGGCTTCTTAAGAGCAGGGAGGGGAGGGGGGGGGGGGGAAGAGTGAGGGGAGGGAGGGAGAGAGGGGAGGGGGCATGCATCAACTCTTGGTTCGTCATCGCCAAGGATGTAAGAGGAGAAACCAGGGAGGGCATTGTTGAGTTTTCTTCTTTATTCTCCTATAGGGAGTAGGTTGAGAGGGAGTGAATGGATGGAGGGGGCAAAGGGGAAGGGGAATCTTCAAAGAATTCTTCTATCCATTTTGCCAGTGTTGTAGGAGGCAATATCGAGGAGGAAAATGTCTCGTCCTCTTTTTTCTGCTTGGGTAGAGTGGGAAGGCAGGTGGAGGGAGGGGAATGGGGAAGGGAGGGGCATCTTTATTACCAAGAAATAATATATTTCATTCTCAATGGGTAGTGAGGGAGAATGAGGGGGGAGGAGGGGGGAGGAGGGGGAGAGAAGGGAGATGTGGTATCTGTTATATCCTTGTTACCAAGAATGTAGGAGCCAAAATAAATCCCTTGATTGCTAAAGAGGAGGTCATACCAAGGAGAGGAATAAAAGATGTCCTCTTCATTCCCCATAGAGGAACAGGAAATACGGAAAAAGGAACAAAACTCTTCTCATTACTAGCTCTTATGATTTTTTACGATTTAAGAAACAAAACAAAACAAAACGCTGTAGTGTACTTAAGTGCAAATACATGTCCTGCTCCACAGCAAATGCTATCTCAGTGCTTAGCTTGTACAGTATAATGGTTTACTCTTGTACCTTTATTTAAAGCGGGACTGCACTACTTGTACATGTAGCTACTTGCACCCTCTATATAGCCAACAATGCATAAGAGGTACCCGTTGATCCCCCATATTCCCCTTTTTTTTAATGTTAATTGAGAGCTGATTTGATGAGATAACCACCTGCCAAACTCGTGCAGATAGGCTTTAATAGAGATTGGCAGAACATTATAGGAAGCCACTTTAATAGCTCATTTGTTCAAGATACGAAGGTATCACTAGCACAATAGGATTAGCAAGAGAGCCCACTTTAACTGTGACCTCATAATGGGATTAGTTTTGATTATCAGTAGGGCAGCACCTTCCAAATATAACCACATATAACCACATTAAAGAATTAGCAGGGATTAAAATGTACCTGTAGGATAATCCATTCCAAAAATTATACAGTGGCACATATAGCTGGAATGGCCAGGTATGGAGCTCATTCTGTGTTGGGAGGTAACATAAGATTCTTGAATGATAAGTACTTCATGGATAACAATGAAATTCAAAAGCAGTGGGCTGTGCAATGCCAAGTGAATGATGAGACAATACGCATAGTTGAACAAGTAAAGGAATTGATCAACTCGAGGGATGATTATTTATGTAAGGGTTTCCTTAACCGAGAGGAGTGCGAGGAAATTATCTTGTATTTATGCACACTCTGATCTTACCCTGTTATACATGTATTCTGTTGTTGATGTTGTTTTTTTGTCTTTACATATATTGTGAATGTGCCTATTTGTAGAATATATTGTATATTTTTTGTTATTTTTTTATATGTGCTTTTTAAAGCGAATAAAGAACTCTTGACTTGAATTGAATAACATTATTTTGGAACTGTAAACCATAATCACACCTGATTGAATTGAAATAGTCCACATAGTTCAAAGCAGCTAACCGTACCACCTGGCAAATTCTCAGAAGTTTTAAAGATTTTATTGGGCCCCTGTGTTGAGGATCTATTGAATAGGACAATAAGGGGTTTAGATTTAGGATGGATCCACTTAACTTTGGTTGTCTCTAGAGGCAAAAGCTTGTATTGGGCCAAAACTTCTTGACTTATACAAGAGAGCAAGTGGATTATGTTGTATAGGGATCAATGGGAAGGGTACTATTGGCTATTGGGTACGTTAGGACAGACAGAGTTTGAAGTTGGATATTGTAGAAGAAAAGGCTCCTAATGTACATCACCGTTTCTTTGAATTCATTATTTAGTAAATATCATTTTTCTGTTTTTTTTCTTCCTTGTAGTCCAACTCCCTGGCAGAAAGTCTTCAGCTGTTCTTACAAGGTGTAGGCATCAGTAAGTATTACCAACAGGACAAATGTCTCGGAGGGGGAAACAAATTGCAAAATGTAATACTTTGTATGTCACATACTTGTAGCTTTATATTGTTTATGATAGATTAACCCCTTCTGAGTCAACACATTGTTGTTCTGTTGTTACAAATGAATCACACTTTGGGGGCAGGATTTGCCGCCCATGACACAGAAGGGGTTGAATTGTCATTGACAAAGAATTGAACGACATGCATCTTGTGTGTTAATATGCAAAATGTATTCATTGATACTTATTACATTGTAAGGGTGTTCATGTGGACAGCTTAATAACTATCCTGGGCACAATTCAAGCATGTTTCCTGATAGCTTGACTATGATGCATGAGCTTGAGGAAAGAAAGACAGGTTCATTAATAGGGAGCAGGTTACCTAGCAACAATAATAATAAAGATAACCATAGTGTATTGAGAGAGAGAGAGAGAGAGAGAGAGAGAGTTGTGACACGCGATCAGATCAAAGGTCAATACATGGAGCTTCAAATAGGTCCCTCCCACGTACAATCTTTATGGGAGGGAACTATTTGGAGTTTCATGAATTGACCTTTGACCCCTTGCATGTGGATGTGTCACAACTATATTTCTCAATACGCTATAGAGTACCGAAGTGTGACGTCATAATGGCCAAGTTGTCGAGGTTGATGGTTCCAAACAATTCTGTGCTAAACAATGGCATGGTGATCCCACCAGCGCCAAACACTGAATTTGCCCTGCTCCAGCCCGTTGCTTGAATGATTTCACGGTGAATCTCATGCCCAGGCACCATTGTTTGGAACCAGTTACCATGAGGGTCACTCCATGTCAAATCACCCAAAAAATCTGAAAATCTTAACCCAACCATTTTTATTTTGATGAAACTTGGAGTACTTGTTGAGTGTGATATCACAGCACCAAATCTTTTATAAGTTTTAGTGAACATGTCAGAGATTACATTTCATGAGAAATGTTGTCAAGGTCACGTGATCCACAAGGTCAATTTCAAGGTCAAATCTTAGGTCACGAGGTCAAAGTACCCCAACATGTACGAATCTTCAAAATGGCGGCAGATTTGGAATCCTTATTGAATACCCTTTCCAACCATACAAATTTTGTGAAGATTGACCCATTAGTTCCCGAGATACAAGGATTCAAAGGTAGGCCCGCCACCTCCATTTTCGAAAAAATCTCAAAATTTGGTGGGCCGTATCACCCAAACCCCTCACCCGATTGACCTAAAATTTGAGATTTGGTGCTGTGAGATCACACTCAACAAGTACACTAATTTTCATCAAAATCAAAAATGGTCGGGTTAAAACCATTGGGTGATTTGACATGGAATGACCCATGACGACAAGCAAATATGACATTAGCACTTTAGTACTCTATGACTATAACTATGCAGCATTGTTTGCTGCTCACCGTTTTTTGCTAATGTCTGAGCCTTCAGCATCATATTTCTCAGGTCCAATACCTTATCTACATTGACCGTTTGTGTTATCATTTCTGTCATCGATGATAAACGATCAGTTCTGTAAAATGGATGTTAAGCAAACAAAATGAAATCTAGTGCGATATTGATCTTATTACACTATTGTAGTACCCCCAGTGGATATGAAACTAAAGAATTTAATTTTTGATCATGATATAAATCAATTTACCCCAACCCATGTTTTCTCGTCGACCAGGGTTCTCAACTAAAAATATGTATTAAGCCTTCAGTTTTTAGTTTTTGTAGATATGCTACATTTTAAGACATTAAGAAATCCATGGAGGTAGCAATTTTGCTTCCAATAGTAAAAACTAGAATTTACCTCTTTATTTTGGTAGTAGTTAAGATATTAAACACGCAAGTGCCACAGTCTATAATGTTTTGAATTTCATGGGTGATATTAAGTCATGATAGTGTTTTGTATCAAAATGCTTCATTTGGCTTTATATTCCCTCCGATATCATGTGAACTAACCCCAAACTATGTGATCCTGCTAAATTAGATTGTTTTTTTCGTAGTGGAACCCTTATGTCCAGCTTCTTGTAGCATTCTGCCTAACTATAAAGCCCCTATCCTGAGCCCCCAAAGCTTTATTTTCCTCCTGTATACTAATATTAACCATGATATTGTTAAAAATTTATATATCGGATGGAAAATCAAATAGATTCCCTAATTCTTATCAAATTTAATCCTAGTATGATTGTATAATGTAGGTGTTTAAATATATCTTTACTTGTGTTTGAAGTAGATAATTCTCCCACCTCTCAATGAAAATTAATATACGGTAGGCCTAAGATTTTAAAAAACATCCTGGATTTAGCTCATGCTGCAATGATAATTAAAAACCTTTAGGTCATACATATATCTCATGAGTTTTACAAGCCAATTGCTTGCCCGATTATCAAGATATCTATGATTGGAATTAGAAATTTCAGAATTCATTTTCCTAAGGTTTTTATAACACTTTTATAACATTGTTAAACAATGCCTTTAGATAGAGATGGGGAACTTAAGAGGCCTTGAAAGTTGCATATTCTAGACTTGTTCAATTGCTTATTAGTGAATAGCTAGATTTATTTAATACTTATATTTACATTGAACTGTTATCACCCACTGCATAATTCAATGCATTTTAAATTCATATTTCCTCTTACAAATTTATCTCAATATGTCATCCTATATAGCATTTTGATGCATGGTAACATTTTATTATAATATTTTATCCCTCATAATTTGAAATCTTGAGAGCTACTTTAACAAAAATGCTAATACTAATTTCAACAGCTTCATGACTTAAAAACTAACAGTTTGATGAATAAATAAATGATAGATTATCATTTTTTTTATCAGTTTTATTAGACTGTTCGTGACGAGTTATTTGCTAATACCTAGACATTAATCAGATATTCATAAGGATTAATATCACTTTTTTTTAACTATTCTAATTCTTCAATCCTTTGGTGGGGTGTTCTCTGTTCTTAATATATCCCTTTGATTTAAGTGCATTCTCTGACAAACTGTCTGTTTTTTCTCTCTCTTTCTCTTTACTTTTTTTCACCAAATCGCTGACATTACCCTGTGGTGGTCAATCTTGGTTCTTCATCTCTCACTTAACTTGGGTTTAATCAATGTCTATTCATTTCACTTTTCGTGTCTTTGTTTCATTCCATCTCCGTGTTTGTCTTGTCTCAAAATACTTACTTGTCGATGTGTTGCATGATTTAATATGCATTGTGTTGTATATTGATCTTGGATTTGGATAATCTTATCTGCCGTGATTTGTGAACTTTCAACGTTGCTATTCTTCCCTGGCACAAAATGCTGTGTCTTTGTTTTTTCTTGTACGCATGTTTGTGATCTATGCCTTTTATTTCTGTCACCTTTTTTTTAATGACATCACCAATGACATAATCATCAAACCATTCATTTCGTTGTCATGAATATTGTAAAATATTTTTATCATTGTTTGTTGATTCCCTATTTCACTGACCGATTGCATAATTTGCCTGATATGCCTTGCCACATTAATATGCACTTTATATATTCATTGCTCATGAATATTCATTTGAATTTTCCCCTGAACTTGTTCTCATTATCACGATATTGATATCATATACATTTATTAACATTGCCTATAACTTCCATTTGTATTTTTGTACATTCACTTGTCAAAATTGATTTTCACCCTTAAATACACAACCAATATTTGTGTTACCATATAATAAAATCACTTCCTTCACCTTGTCTTTGATAATGAATGATTGTAATAAATGAAATGTTTGATATCACACAATTTGTGTTCATTTCATGGAATACTTGATATTGCCATTATCATTTTCATTTTGATTATTGTTATTATCCTTGTCAACATTATTAACATCACACCTCTCCTCATTATCATCAATAATCATTGTTATTCCTTTCGAAAATGTTTTACCCTCCCCCCCCCCCCCCCCCCCCCTCTTCCTCCATGGGACAATCACCATGTTTTCTTTTACTTTTCTGTGAAAACATATTCCTGTATACAAATATTTCCCTTGCCAACATTATAATTGATCTTGGGATGCTTACCATCATGTTTTCATCCCCTTCATGTTTGTCTCATATTCTTTTTTTTTTTTTTTTTTTTTTACATTATCATCATTTTTTGATATCACTTATATTTCAATTCTGTAATCATCACTTTCATCATCCTCCTCCTCATCATCATCATCATCAACATCATCATCATCATCATCATCATCATCATCATCATCATCATTATCATTATCATCATCATCATCATCATCATCATCATCATCATCATCATCATCATCATCATCATCATCATCATCATCATCATCATCATCATCATCATCATCAACAACATTTGCCTTGTCACCATGCTTGTCTTTCCATTTCATCTTGCTTTCATCACCATCATCCTAATCCTTTCATTAATTTTTAACATCATCATTCCTCATCACCCTGTAAATTCACCTTGTACCTGTTGCCATGACAACAGTGTCCTCCATTCCTTTATCAAGACTTGGTCGGAGTGCCTCTCTGGGGCAGACATCCAAAGTGCCACGAAGACAAACCAGCTTTGACCATGGCATCTAGACAAAAAGTTAGAACCAAAAGTCATGTTTTGGTTTTGTTTTTTGTTGTCTTGTTGATGAAGCTGTGTATCCCTTTTATATCCTCTTTACACCTCCCCCCCCCCCCCCCCACCCCCCCAAAAAAAAGTATATAATAGACTGGTCATTAGGAGTTATGTAATATTTGTTGCCAGGTCTAATGTCTGTCTGGTTTCGGTCTCACCTTTGTGACTGGGGTGTAATCCTGTTCATCAATCTTCCCTTTAAAGCCCCACTGCACTACTTATAGCTACTTGCACCCTCTATATAACAAACAATGCCTAATCGGTGCCTGTTGGTCCCCCGTGATCCTCTTTTTCTTATGTTAATTGAGAGCTGATTGGATGAGATAATGACCTGTCAGTGACCTTGCAGGGAGGTCTAATCCCCCTGGCCAAACTAGTGCAGACAGGCTTTAAAGAGATTATTAACGAACTGATTAACCCATTCAACTTGTGGGTTACAGTCCCACTCAATGCCATATTGCTACTTTTTCATTCATTCATTCAAACAAAACAAAATCGTGAGTAATATTTGTGTTCAATATATTTAGAGGCCATTATTGTCCTGACAGAAACATTTAAAACAAATTAATATCATGAACAAACTCATTCACTAAAGTTTCACCAGTTTTCATCTTGTCTCTCTTGCATGATCAATATATAACAAAAACGTGTGTACTAATTCTGCTTTTTCTATGTTTATGAATCCCCTGTTGTGCTCTACCCCTCCTAGTCTAGACCATAGGCTACCCCCTCCCACTCCCCTGTCAGTTAGCCCAGAGTTCTTATCCCCTAGTTATATAATCAGTCATTTAACTTAAATCTCTTTTAGAAATGAAAGTAAGGTTTGATATGGCACAGAAGCTAATTATCAAAAGTTCTGTGAAATGTTCAGATTTAATTGATTTGATTTATTAGTACCGGTAGATCATCATCAGACATTTACCTCAACGTTTTTTAAGATGTTTAATGCATCCCTTCACATTACTGTTTGATGACACAGTTTGCAGGATTGCTCGGATATGCATGTGCTGACATTTTATTATATAGAACTTTTTATTCATTTACGTGTAACTCTGGGGTGTTATTTCATTTTATATGATTGAAGTGCTGTATGGATATCATTACATTATAAGGCAATGAAACCCAGACTATGCAATTTTTGCCTAGATGTGCATTGTCAAGTTTCTTCAATTCCACTTGACTTGTTTTATATCTCATGGACATATTTCTCATATCAAGCAAGGACTATTAGAGCTAAATATTAGGAATTTGTTGCTTTTTTTAAAAGATGGTTAATTTATAGATCTGTTGAAAACTATAAGAACTGTATTATTCGGTCCTGACAAGTGAGCTCTCCTTTCTCCCTTTTTCTCTTTCCGCCTCTCTATCACACCCAATCTCTTAGTCCTCCATCTGACATTATTCAGCGTTCATGCCCATAATTCATCCACCCCTCTCTAATCTCTATACTCTCCTGTTATGCCCTTCGCACCCTCCTATACCATAAGACCATGATGGTTCTCGCCCATGCATATCACCCTCGGTGGTAATACTATTAGCATGGGGGAACTTAAGAAAAGAATATACCAAGTGCAATTTAGTCCCTAACCAGGGTAATCAATAATAATTATAATAACTACCTTGGTCCTCTCTAACCACCCCCAGGATGCAGTAAGACCAGGGGGTATTTCACAAAAATCCTAAGTCTAACTTAACTTAAAAATTATGGAGAGCCATTTGTAGCCTTAAAATAAAATATATTCAATGGTGAAAATTCACGTATTTTAGACTTTTTATGAATTCCACATCAAGAACATGAAATCTCCTTGATAATAGAAATCATGAATGATTTGAATCAACATTTTATGCCTTTTAAAATAACTTTTACAACATATTTTCAAGGATGCTCACGGCTTTCCATAATTGTTGAGCATAACTTAGAGTTAGGTTTGACTTAGGATCTTTGTGAAACATCCCCCAGAACTCAGTTCAGACCCAGAGTATACAAATTCAGGGCTAAAAGATTGACTGAGTAACGCATAGACTCGTTTACCTTTCTCCCTTTGCAGTTGGCAGCGTCGGTATTCCAGGTCTGCACCAGATGTCTGTCAAGCCGCGGTCTGGCAGCATGACCGACTACGACAAAGCCAACCCCTCCAACAAATAGACGTATCTCCGCTAGCTGCTGCTGCTGCTGCTGCCCTCCTCTTCCGATATCTCCCTCCCCCCTCCTCTAGAATGCACCAACCAACCAACCAACCAGCAAACCTTCAAGAAGAACAATCAAGATGTAATGCTCTTGCACCTGTGTTTTTGACGCATTCTATTTTTTATTCAACTTGTATCTAAAGCACAAAGTTTCAAGCATCAAACCAAAAGTTTGTGGAAAGCAGAAACAGTGAGATTGTAACTTGAGAGCGTCTTGCCCTCCTATTTTTAGATTTTAAAGAAATTGTTTGTGTTTTTTGTTTCGTTCTATTGAGTTTTGTGAAGTGGATGAAGGATTATGAGGGGGCGATTTGTATGTTGTATGGTGGTATTGGAGTTATGTTAATCAAGATATGTCTGGGGTTGGCATTGCGGGTAAGAAGCAGCAGAGGAAAGGAAGGGGTTTTGTTTGAGAACAATTTTAATTGTATTCATCGAAGTTGAAATCGGTAGAGTTATTGCATGTTTCTGTCCCTTATGGACCAACTTAGATAAGAATTAAAAAGAAATATATAAAAAGATATATAGATTTATATATCAGTTCACTTTTTGCCCTGTTGATCGTCACTGTTTAATCTAGCACTAATCTTACTTGCCTTTCCACATTTCTGCCATTTTATTGATGTTTTGACCTATGCTTTTTTATTTTTTATTACGTGACCTTTTATTTTTCACAAAAAATGAAACCTTTTTTGATGTGCAACCAACAACTGTTATGAAATACGATGAATATGATTCACATTGTTATTGTAAATGCAAAGGTTATCTTGTAGGCCATTCCTCCTTGTACGTTATGACCCATTTTCAACAGGGAAAAAATTAATATGGCCAATTGTGACCTTGTCCAAGATTTCATACTGGCATATAGCTTCTGAAGTGATGTCAGACTCAGCGACAGAATACTGAAATTACGTAAAAGCCCAGATATTTGAAATCATATTCGATACATCCATATTCATGTATTATTATTATTGAAATATTCAATTATTATTTTATAAAAGGTCTTTTCACAAATTGTTTTCAACTCTCTTGCAAGTGTAATAGAATTGCCCTTAATCTGAAATAGCATAAAATCAATATATTTTCTCTCTTTTTTTTGTTTTTGTTTTGTTTATCCTATAGTTATATTCCTTGTTAATGCTCATCTAAAAAGATGTTTGAAGTGACTCATATATGGTGATATCTTTGTAATGGAGTACTGTTACTCTTTTTTTTAGCTTCAAAAGTAATTTGAAATTGTTCGTCGTTGATAGTCTTAATTCTTTAGTTAATATGGAGCGAGTATGCCCCGTTGCATGATACATGGTATTTGCTTGTGCCATCCTAAATGGCATGGAAAAGTTCTTAATAAAATGGGACTGCATGAGATCAGAGCTTGAACAAATTGCCTTGGATAGAAAATATTTGTCTGGTTCTGTAATTCTCTTTATTTTTCTTCATTTTTCTTCAAAGGGAGCTGTAAATTTCTTTTCTTTTTTAAATGAGTAGTTTCATCAGTTCCCCAAGATTGAATTTGACTTATTTTTCAACTGTGATGTTTTGTAAATGTTGGCAAGATGAATAAATGAAGTCTGATTGGACAGATATTGAACAAGAACGCAAGTTTGTTTTGAATAGAAATTGTACAACTAATCATTCATTTGCTATATTTGCTCCAATGTGAGCTGGAAATTATATTAAATGTTATTTTTGTCACAAATCATTCAAAAAATCAGTTTCTATCCTCTTGTCAATTGCATGTTTATCTTGTATACATTTTTACATTACACATGAATTTGTAGACAATTTATCAAAGCTTTTATGCTTTATCTACGCTAAATTGGGATGTGAAAATAAGCCAAGTGGTATGCAACCAAATGATGTTTTAGATATATGTGGTAACCATTTATACACATGCAACGTTAGATTGCACAAGATTAACGTGTGTATGCATCCTTATGCAAACTGCAGTGATGAAATGTCTCAAGTTTAATTTTGAATTGTTCTTACAGAAATGTACCAGTATACAACACTGGATGTGAAATGTCCAGATAAAATTTGTTATGTGTATGTTATCAACTAACAAGCAAGATGTAAATCGTTAGATACCTGGTATGGACATACTGATTTGTATGTTCATTTTTCTTTCTGTTGAGTTGGGAATTATTACAGACTATTTTCATCATTCCAAATCCTGTGTTTCTCTGTTTCTTTCTTTGTTGTGTACATGTGATTATGGTTTCGTTGACTGCCTGCAAGAAGGCGTACTGCCACTTGTTACACATAGCTCTTAAAGCCCCTCTAAAGTGTTGGGAGCCCCAAATTCGCCAAAAATGTGATTGCAAAATTTCACTTCAATTGCATCATAATCTGAAAGAGGATGTCACTTAAAGGTATTACAAAGTTTTGGTATGGGGTCATGAATTTGGTTCAAATTAACATATTGGAAGCATATGCGACCCTACAATATGCAGTGATCGTTTTGCGGTTGAAATCAAGTCTAGAGTTATGAAATTGGAAATAATAAACTCTTTATGTTGTATAGCTCCCTCTCAAGGTCAAGATATTAATTAAGCTATAAAACAATGTTTCTTGACTAAAATCGACCGATTAGCTATTCCCTTTGGAAATTATATATCACAACTACATATTCTGAGATTTTCATGGTCGCAGCTGCCATTGTACGGCCGTAGGCGCTATTTGAAATTTATAAAAATTTACCGGGAGCACCGGTAAATTTTTATATTCAATTTTTCTCGAAAGCAGAAGTGTTTTAAGGGCTAAATTTTCTAGTGCTTATAATACATCCACAGGGTCATCCAAATATATCAAAATTGTAAAGAATCCCTATCCACCCAATTTTCAAAATTTCCCAAAACTTTGTATTACCTTTAAGACACACTTCTGCAAATATTCCCCCCCCCCCCCCCCCAAAAAAAAAAAAAAAATGTGTATGAAGACAAATATTGGTAAAAGAATACATAAATTAGGTTTTCTGTAGTTGTATTATGCAGGAAACCTAAATTTGTGTAGTCTTTCATCAATATTCGACTTCAAACACATCTGTTGTGAAAATCCTTGCAGAAATGTGTCTTAAACTAAGAAAAAACAAAAGAAATCAAACATAAATTACGGTACTGGAATGCGTTTTGAGAGAAATCCGAATTGTTAGTTTGGTAGTTTGAGCAGCAAAAATATAAACCAAACCAATGATCATCATAGAAATCGCATTTGCTGAATGAAAAACTGTCACTTTAACATAATGAGCATCTGTTCTGCATTTATAAATATTCTTGTCTGCTTCATTCGAAGTTTGAAGAATTTATTTTCTATCATTTCCAACACTTCACATTACCTTTGATACACCAAGGGTCTGGGGACATAAAAAAACATTATCATTAAAAGGTCATATCTTCGAAATTGAGAAACCCCATTGTTAGGCTAGTGTTAGGCACAGGCCAGTAGCCACGGGGGGGGGGGGGGGGGGGGGGGGGGGCACATGCCCCCAATTTTTTTTCTTCAAGATCGGTTTAACTTTTTTAGCCCCTCTCCAGGACGTCGATCATTTTATGTGCCCCCCCCCCCCCCCAAAAAAAAAAAAAAAAAAAACATCAAACTCTGGCTACGGCCCTGGTTCCTTGCTTTTTGATCTATGAACAGCTGAAACGGGTCACCCCAATCGACAGTCCAAACGCCATTTATTAACATGGCTTTAAATCTGAACTTGAAAAGTATTGGTATCACCATCCTTTCAAATATACCCCTTATCAACCTATATAGTGATGTGATTGTCAAGATGGGCTCATAAGCTGAAGGCTTCAAGCCATAACAACCAAGTAAACCAAGTAAGTAAACTAATTAGTGGGTGGTAGTTCAATCTTCATAAACGTTAAACATGATGATTAATTAGTATAACATTATTCAAGGGGATAATGATAAGAATAATAATACATGAGATGTATACAGCGTCATTATCCATTTTAATTAAATGCTCAAGGCGCTATAATAACATAAATAAGTATTCATACTTTATAGTAATCCCTCCACTTTATTTGATTTTATAACTTTTTACACTTTTATTTCATGTTTTATGGAAATAAATTTAATTCAATTCAATGCTTGTCTCGGGTAAATTTCCGAGAACAGGTTGCTTGGTGAAGAGTGAGGAAAGGAATGGTCCAAATGCACCAATGAAAAGTGATTATTACATTGGATTTGAGGTTCTTCCGACAATTTAAAAACAACGCTGAAATTTTAGATTGCCATTTCCAGAATACGCCATAATGTTTAATTTTAATGCAGGCCTTTCAAGAACGATTTGAACCAATAACCAAAACAGTTTTTCTGATGACATAACAATGCTTGATACATAGTGTCCATTTAGGAAGATGTTTTCAACAAAAATAGATGATTGCATATTGGGATTGTTTGCCACGTGAGGTTCTCAGACAAAAGACGTTTTAATATTAAACGCGATCGCAACTATTTTCGAGAAAAAAAAATCAACTCATGGGCAATTTCAATACATCCAATATATATAAGGCGGTGTCACACACAATTTTCCCGATCCATCTTGAATTATCGAGATAGTAGTACCGTTATCTAAATAATTCCCTTACGTAGGTGACAGACAGCCTACGAATTATCTAGATAACTACTATATAGATAATTGGCCTTTTTCTGACACCGCCATTATGTTCGCGCATTTTAAAAGTTGACACACAATGCTACTGAAATTGCTTTTGGTTGATTTTTTAAAATTAAAGTAGTTAAGAATGCAATCGTGTTACCCCCCCTCGATCCCCCCTCCTTGATTTTACTTTCCTGACTATCTGTATAACTTTGTGTTCACAACTTTAGACATCTTTGATGGCAAATCCAGAATTTCTTTCTTCTCCTCCTGACCTTCTTTCTCTTCCTCTTCTTCTTCTCCTTCTCTCCATCCTCTTCCTTTTTCTTTTTCTTGTTCCTCTTCTTCATCGTGGATATGGGGTAACGTACTATTATCGAGAATAAATTGTCAACAACAACCACACACAATGGAAGGGAATTAAAACGCCCACAACTGTTTCACGATTTTCAACAATCTATTCACAGTAATCATGTTATACCGCTGTAAACATGCATTAAAAAGTTCAAAGCAAGTTCAAGTTCATTTATTTTTCACAACAATGAAAGCACATAAAAAGTACAAATGACCTCATCAGTACGTGAACAAAATTAATAAGAGAAAGTACAAATAAAAAATGCTGTTTAGCAGTACTGAAAGCAAAATAAAGCAGAAATAAATTGAGTAAAATGATTAAAAATATGGCGATATTACTCAATACTTTTGTTAATTACTATGGTGACATTGACTATGAAGGCGAAGAGAAGCAGGCTAGAAATGTTATGAAACAAATTATTAATGTAGATGGACCCAATTAACAAGAAATAAATAATGGAAATCTCTATCATCTTTTTTCGAATTAGATTATAATACAAAATGATAGAATGCTCTCAATAGAAAGTGTTCAACATAAAATCGCTTTCTGATATGTTCTTTATTCATGGTCCGATTTTTCTCTAAATTTCACATATTATTTTGTGAAGACCACCTCTGCAGAGTGAGATAGCGACACACCCGTCTTTTTGGTTTAGAATGAGTGCTAATAATGGGCCTACTAATACAAAGTAAACAATCAGATAGTCTACTATATCGATGCATGATTGAGACAACATGAGTTTTCAAAGCTTTCCAGTCATTTAGATCGGTCAATAGTACAACCAAAATCTCCAAGTAGACCCGGTAATTTCGTAATAAAGGTTACCAAAAAAAACAAAAAAAAACCTATAGATTGACAGACGAGCAGACATGCTGATCATGAAATTAAAATGAAATGTTAGAGCGCCATCTTTTGTCTCGAAACAATAGTTAGATTTTTCGTATATTCTTACTTCAAGTCTGTTGCCACTTTTTGATAAACCCTTAAAAAACAAAACAATTAAGACACAATTAACGACTTGAGACATACTTACAAATGACAATGAAATGACAAAAGCCATTAGATTGAGGATGAGTCGATCACTGTTAACTGATTTCAAAGGCAAATTGACACCTGACCAGCTCCGAAAGACTCTAACAAACTGAGAGGCCAAATGACTTGGCTCTATAATTTTATATTCCCGATTTAGAGGAAGAGATAGAAATTAGATGAGTTTTGGAAGGGGAAAGTTGAGCATCAGAGGAAGAAAACCAAAGTCTGATAAAATGAAGACTGTGTGCCTAATAGTAGGCCTATGTCTACTAATAGAGGATGCCTGAAGAGAGAGCCTCGCAAAAGATTTGGGTGCATGAGGAGAAGCCTAGAAGAACTTGGAGGAAATAGGGAGAGGGAAATGAAGGAAAATAAAACGGAAAAGATTGAAAAAGGGTGGAGCTGAAAATTTTAAATAACAGTTGTGGAATTGGAAATCCCAGATGCAAAAATAGTGGAAATCATGTCACCAAGTTCGATCCACTGAGTCCAAATAATCGTTACATGATTCTGCCAAAACAACTCTCTTCGAATAGGTATGGGTTTAGAGGCTTCAGCCCCCCCCCCACCCTCCCCTCCCGTCCAAACCAAACCTGAGTATCCCACCGAGCGGGTTCTGCCACGCCCCTACCCGACATTTCACTTTCTATGCCTAAATGTGAAAAATAGCCCCACCCCACCCCCGGTGCGCTTGCCCAGACTACGGATTCAAATAAATAAATAAAGTATTAAACTAGGCCAGCTAGGGTAGAAGGGATAGGGAGAGTGTTCTATTTTGGCAGGGGGCAGGGAGTACATGGAAAATTATAGAATTATTTTAACTTTATGCCTACCAAGGTATGACATGATATTTTTCCCGACTTAATGATAAACAATTTTTCCAAAACGTATCGGATGCAGGCTAGACATATTTTTACATTACCCTCAATGGCGTAAAAATTACGGAAGGCATACCAGTACTAGCGGTTTCAAGTGTGGCATCATCATTTACAAATATTGAGTGGATTAATTTGTTTGTCATATGCAGAGAGCGGTCTCATTCATGGATATAAATCGGATGTTATCGTCGCTCCATCTTGGATCTGACTTCCAGAGGATTTTAATCTCGTAAAGATAACATAGTTTGCCGAGTTTGTTTGACCGCTAGATAATCGTCGTCGTCGTACCGGTAGACGTGGCCGAGCTACAGCTGAGCAGCCTGTGGAGTTTGCACCCCCGACGCAGCGGTAGGAAAGTGCCCGCAACATCATCACTCCGTTCCGCTCAGGCGGTGCGGCGCAAGTTGAATTATGATAAAGTGAAAGGCTAACTGTTTCATGTACGATGTTCTACCAGTCATTATTGATATTTAGCCTTATGAAATCGTAAAAGACATTTGGAAGACATTTTCATTGTCATTCAATCCTACCAACTAAAACAATTTGTGCCCCAAAACTGACTCAAAATGTTTAAGAACGTGAGCAAGTTTTTCGCGCGAAAGCGAAAGGAGGACAAGTTTTTGAACATCATACGAGACAGAGACCCCAATGAAACTTGGGAAATATTATCTGAGCTTGGGGATGGAGCATTTGGAAAAGTATACAAGGTGAGTTGGATAATAAAATTGATATGAAAATGAAACAAAACCATGAAAACCAGGATATCGTAATCATGATAATATAATTTTCTTACTTTTGTGTTAATGTTTTACTGTAGGCCTAATGATTAATGTAAACGTTTATGAAGTGAAAGGATTTATCATTGTTGTCATACAGTCTAACTTAGCTCTAGTCTACATTTGGCAAATCGAGTCTGATGTTAGAGCTCTAACTTAGATCTAACTAATTTGATACGTTTTTTTTGCAGTCGGACTCCAGATGAAAAAGTGTTGGTCACCTGACCTTGTGTGCACTTTTTTGTTGTTTATCTCTTTAAAAAAAAACCCACATAATCCTGCCCAGATTTTCAAGAACGAGGAGTAGATTATCTACATGTACACGTAGATCTCATATTTGGTGGCTTTACACTTCATGTACATGTACATGTACATGTACAATCCAACTGGCTGGATTGACATGTAATATGCTCATGAAAATCAAGTTTTCGTACTAGATCTAGGCTACTGTGTAGTCTATTTATATTTTTCAAAGTCTTTCCAAATAAATCTGGATGCATGTCTGCATAGTACAACTTCACCTGGTACGTCACATTTTCAAGAATATGCGCTCATGTCATGCTCTAAAAAGGCATAACATTGTGCCAAGAATATCTTCATTTACACACATGTACATGTACATACATGTACATATATCTCTTGTACATTTCCCAAGGAATATTTTACATCAAAGGGCAGGAATACATGTCATGTACATCTCATTTTCCAGAATACCTGTGACACATATTCTTTAGGGTGAAGCTTCCTTTAAGTTACATGATAGATGAGACACCATGTTTTTGCAATTACCGGTAATGAAATGTAGACCATTATATGAATTTATGTATATTCAAAATTATTCAAATGTTACATGTATGCAAAGTGTGATAAAAAAATAAAAATGACAATGCATGGTTCTTACATGTGCTTTTAAATTGTTCAACCATGATAGACCAATTATTATGTAATATGTCAACATGCCTTTTGGCCTCTGTTTACTGACGCTTCATCTTGGACCATCTCTTTGGTACCTCTTACAGTACTATCTTTTGGCCAGGGTCAATGTCCAAATTTTAAGAGCGACCCACCAGTATTAAACCTCTGCACCTCTGTGCAATAAAAATGCGCTCACACTATAGGACAAGCCTTGGTTGGATACGGAGGGCGATATTGTTTCTGTGTTGGATCTACCCTGTAAGACTTCAGCATGAGCAAGTTTTTCAGGCGAATTAGCCGAAAGACGATAAAGAAGGACAAGTTCTTGTACATTATTCGAGACAGAGACCCCAACGAAACATGGGAATTATTATCGGAGCTTGGGGATGGTTCTTTTGGTAAAGTTTACAAGGTACGTATTAGATGAATTGCCATTGCATAATGATAGCCTGTAACATGTCCGACATCATGTGTGCATGTAGACCTCCATTTGTTTCTTTTGTGCTTCTTTTTTAACACTTTAAATTGTTAGTGACCATTCAAGTTATTTCAAACACTTCTACAAAAATGTGGCTAGTGTCTAGCAAAATGCAATTTAGTGAAATCTCTTAACTGGATAAAATGTCAAATTCAATACAATTTCTATAACATGTAACAGAAGTATCGGGTAACTGTCCATATCTTCATCTCATTAGATGAGTTCATTGTCCAGAGCAAACACCAGCCTTTATCTCACCAAACTTCATGAAACAATACATACAGTGTACCAGTACTGTACACCACAAGATAAGGAGACTAGGAGAATACAATTGATACTTTGAGTACACAGTGCACCAAGCATGGTGTAGGCCTCCTTTGATGCAAGTCTGCAACTGTTGGTTTTATGTTGTACAGTTTTAATATGATTTCCTAAGACATGACCAATGACTTGGAAATAATGAAAATTTGAATAGATCTGTGTCATGTAAAATATGTATTTCTTCATCAAGATTATAAGACTGAACTATTAAAGATAAACTCCAGTTCTGGTAAAAAAAAAAAAAAAAAAAAAAAATCTCACAGAATCAAACGAAGAAGAAAATGTATACTGGCTGAGTAATGAGCATAGAAAGACAAGGAAATCAAGGTAGTACTAGCCCCGACACCATGTGTGTTGTCCCATATATAGCTTTCTGTGTGCAGTGCTTGTTACTTTACCAAGACTCTGCCAAATTTATTATGATTTTGATGACTCCAGAACCTTGCAGTGCACACCAATACTAACATGCTACATGTACATGATCAACTGTTTCTGATCCATTCCACACCTTTTCTTTCACAATGCAATCGCATTACCAGAACTCACCTTTATCTTAAAACCTACAGTAATTCAGTAAATTGGTCCTATACACACATGAACATGTGCTGTTTTACATGTAATACCAATTCCCAATTTTCATCATAAAATCCAGCTGTAGGGCTTCTTATACCGGTAATACAAAGGAGGAAGGGTATTAACACTAGACTAGCATTTAAAGTATTACTAAAAAAACAAAAACTCAAATAAAAAACATGTACATGTAGATACAATAGATCTTCAAATATTATTACTGGTAGTACATGTACTGTACATTCTAATTTCTAAACCCAAATAAATGTACAATGTACATGTACATGTACATGTAGTACTGTACATATCGTCGGTGGGGTGACAAAACCTCGTATCTCAAAAATCATGAATTTTCAGGAGAGCAAAAAAACTTTCCTGTCTCAACAAATTTAGTGCTGTGACACCGTCCTTTCTTCTTAAAACTGGAATATTTATATAATTTTTAATGTCATTGTTGAAATACAGTAAAATAATTGTTTTTATATTAGAAAGTGAGTTACGAGGTTTTTGCGTTTATCTACATTGAGATACGAGTTTTTACTTTTTATTCAAATTGAGATACGAGTTCTTACTTTCAATTCTGAATGAGTTACAAGGATTTGGTTGAATAAGTTACGAGGATTTGAATTCACTAACTTTGGAACTGTTAGGCTGTGTGTGAGTTACGAGGAAAAGGAATTACGTATCTTATGTTACGAGGTTTTGTCAGTGCAGCTTCAAAGGGGGTTAAAGTTACGAGGTTTAGTTTAAGGGTGTTTGTAGAATTTGTGAAAAAATCGAGGAGGCGTTCCATGGATTTATCAGGTGGTATTATGCACAAAAATCAAAATCTCAAAAAATTGAGATACAAGGTTTTGTCACCCCACCGACGATATGTACATGTACAGTATACATGTACACTGTAGACCTACAATTGTACAGTAGGCTATACAGTATGTAGCAAAAGGGCATGGCTAGAATGCTGTCTGAAGAGGGGCGAACATGTACATACAGTCTGTACAGTAGTATGGTAATGAGAAGCGATTAAATAAAAATCATAGAAAAGAAGAATATGGTGTAGTACATGTACTGTAGCTCTAGGTTCAAGGACTACCAACCATTGATGGCTTCCTCTAGTTCATGTACATAAAGTGGCATTTGAGGAATAAGTTTTTACAGCTTACAGGCTAATATACAGCTGTACATACTGTGTATAATTAACGCCCCATTTGACTGCACTGTAGCCTGTAGCCTAGGCCTACTCATGTACAGTATCCATGTACAGTACATGTATACATGTATGTACAGGTGTAGATATCTTTCAGTGTATGGGTACACTACAGCACAGTGAGAAATCCACAGGAGCGGCTAGCGGTACGTGAGCAATTTAGCTCTCGAAAGCTCCAAAAGAGCTCAAGTATACTGAAAGAGAGCTCTGGTAGAAAAACACTAATATACATGTAATTACGGTAAATATCAATATGTTAAAGTCACACTCTTTAAAATTTGTATATTTATGTCGCACTTACAACACCAATTTCTATTTATAGTATACGAGCCCCTATAAACAGAAAGTATTTTTTTTTACACTGGTACAGGGGCTTACATTGTACCTACTGTACATTAAGGCTGTGCACAACAGTGTAATGAGGTACCCGAGTACACTCCCATGCTTACAAGCGAATACTCGAGTATTCGGACGCCATGTTTTGTTTTTTTTTTTTAAATTTTTTTTTAAATTAAAATTTTTTTTTTTTTTTTTTTTTTTTTTGCGTATGTGTAATTTGTACATACCGGTACTGTATGAAAACCTGTCTGGGGGGTGTTTCACAAAGATCCTAAGTAGAACTTAATTCTAAGTTGGACTTAAAAATTATGGACAGCCATTAGCATCTTTGAAAATATTTGGTAAAAATATTTTTGAAAGGCATAAAATGTTTATTCAAATCATTCATATTTTCTATCATTAAGGAGATTTCATATTCTTGTTGTGGAATTTATAAAATGTCTAAAATACTTGAATTTCTGCTTTTGAGTATATTTCATTTTAAGGCTCCAATGGCTGTCCATAATTTTTAAGTCAAACTTAGTGTTAAGTTATACTTAGGATCTTTGTGAAACACCCCCCTGGTCTAAATTACATTGACAATTGAACTTCTTCACTTTTCAGCATCTAAGGTACATGTAGGCCTGTTCCTGTTTGTACATTGAAAGGATACATGTACATGTACTGTATGTCGCATTTACATGTACATGTAGGCCTATCTTTTTTTACCCCTTTTTCCTTAAATTTAAAGTTGACCACACCACATCTATTTTGTTCTTTATTTGGTGGTACAACAAACAAAGTAAGAAGTAGCAACATACTGCAAGCTCCATAAAACAGACAATTGTCTAAAATGTCAACAATATGTGGCCCCTGTTTATGACCCACTATCCTTGTACATTGGACCATCTCTTTCACAGATCTTGGTCAATATAGTCCTGCTCCATAATATAGTCTGCAACTCTGCATGAAGTACTGTACATGTACAATTGTACCTTGTCCAGTTTACACGTACAGGGTCCAATGTGCAAATCGGTAATTGCTCAGAGAACGCCCTGCTAAATATGTAGAGCACTGCTGCCCATTTTGAACAAACTTCCCTAATATCTCAGTGGGGAAAAAGAGAAATATTGTTTCTGTGTACTCAAAGAATCACAGAATGTATGCTCCCAATAGTCCCATTGTGTTGTTTATTTTGTTCGAAGTGCATCTACATGTAGTGATTTATTGGGCTTAATGTACATGTACATGTACACTTACTTAAATTCACATACTTAAATTCACATACTTGTAGTGTACATGTACTTGCTGCGTGTACTTTACATACACTGTAGTAAAATGTACAAATGTCCATTCATAATTCATAATTACATGTACATGTACGTGTATGTACAAGTTGGGCTTGTTGGTTAAACTTGAAATTGAGATTTAGTCTTGCAAGTACAGTTGTACAGTTCTCTAATACCAGCACATTTAGCATACAACCTGCCAACCTGTTTATCAAAATGATCAAATTTCATGCTTTTATACTAGCAAGTACATGTGCGTGTATGTATTACCAAATATGTTTTTCTGGTGGGCTACTGCATAAACTCCTCAGCTGGGATGTAACATGTTTTGTTTCCTTCTGTGATGACATGGAATTTTAACTGCTGAATTTAAGCTAGCATTTACATTCATAAGTCTTGTATGACAACTGTAAAGTAAAAAGCCTACATGTACATTACATACACTGTGACTGTACATGAAAGTTTACTTGTACTGTTTACATTTTAAAACAATTTTTTTTTTACAGTTAGCATGTACAGTGTACTGTACAATTTACATGTACATATACATATGTATACCCACATTAACATTAATAGCAGATACAGTGTATACTCTAAGGGCTGGGCATCATTGTTCATTTACACCCATTAGTCACTGTGGTCCCACATATTGTGTTCAATAAATTTGCGGGTATTCCCGGTTGGTTGTCGGTTATTAATCAATTCTGAGAAGGTCAATTATCCAAGGGTTAGCCTGCATGTGTGTGCAGTTTATTGCTTCTTTCTTTATTCGGTCACTTGTATGAAAAGTAGATTCAAACAAATGCTTGGGATTACCTTTGCTTCAGATGCTTTTACAAATTACCATTGTGTAATTTTTAACATACTTGTATATGCCATTAAGAATTTAAAACGAAGGCTTAAATTCCTTGTCTAAAATCTACATGTATGTGTCATTATTATTCATACTGTAATAATTGTTCCTCTTAATATTAGCCTGCCGGTATACTTTTCCTTTAGTGTGGACAATTTTGAACACCAATTTTGTTTAAGGTAAAGATCAGTTTTTGAAACGCCCCCCTCTCTAAAGATGAATTGGAAGCTCTTATTACCAGTCATGTTTTGACTAATACGTGATGATACAAATGTTGCTGAGAAACCGCCTACTAATTGATATATTTGGTAAATTTAATTAAATTATTATATTTATTTGGACCTGATAGATATCGCACACGTGTCGTGTAGTCCCA